GCATATTTGTGTGCGCTCGGCATCAAGGGGTTAAAGTGATTCTAAAGGCCTAAGGTTTTTACCTTGATACATTAGAATATTAACTGGATACTAACTTTTTTAGGCAAAGTTGATCCAGGGAACATCCAATTTCCTCTCGGGAGATCAGGAAGGATTTTTTTTCCCCGGCAGGAGCAAATTGGATCATGCTTTGCTGGGTTTTTTGTCTTCCTCTGGATCAACTGTCGGTATATGACTATCACTTTTTCTTTTTTAATGGTTGAACTGGATGGACTTTTGTCTTTAGCCAGACTCACTATGTAACTATGTAACTATGTAACGTTCTCTGCATTAAGGTTAAAAAAAACTTATGTGCCACAAGATCCCCCTCCCATATACTTGAATGAGCCCGATCTCAATTATTATTTTTATTATTACAGGTACTTATATAGAGCCATCAATTTACGCAGCGCTTTACATATATATTGTATATTCACATCAGTCCCTAACCCTCAAGGGGTGTACAATCTAAGGTACAATTCAGCACGGTGCCCAAGAGCAATGACTCTGTCTACTCTCTCCCTCCTCAAAGGGCAGATTGATAGCAGCTGGAGCCATTGGCTCCTGCTTCTGTCAATTGAATCCTGTTATGAAGGATTGGGGGCAGGACTAAGCCATGCTGGGGGTCAAACCAGCACAAGAGCCCTTATAGGAAGAGTATTCCTATGGAGACATCTGCCAAAGAGCAGGAGCCATGGCAAGGGACCTCAGAAGAGGAGGATCGGGGCTGATTTGTGCAAAACTATTGCACAGAGCGGGTATGTAGGACATTGTTATCATAAAAAAAGAAGGTTTACAATCACTTTAAAGCTCTGTCCATTTACAAGGGCCTGCTTAGTGTAGTAGTTGTATTGGTTGGCAGTGTTTAGTATCCTGTAAATCATTGCAGTATTTGAAAAGAAATATTAATGAATTTTGGCAGCTGTCACAGATCCTTTCATGATTAGAGATGTAACTGTTTGTTAAAGAATGTAGAAAGCTGTAACTATATTTTTGATTGTCATCCAAAATGGTGTGAACACTTTGAAGGAAAACTCCAGTAGTTTTGGGTCAATTACATTTTTTTTGTCAGTCTGAAGTTTTGTAAACTGCATTATACCTTCTTATTACTTGTATAAAACAAAATTTTACAAATAAATACATAACAGCAGGTGTTTCAATGATATTCAGTTTGCAGAGTATGCTGCTGGGTTCTATAATAAGAAAGCCTTGTGCAGCTTGCATGCTTGAAAGCACCCTGTTTAGCTCAGCGAAGAGGAGGGATGGTGCTGACCTGATTTTCCCTGCTCGTCACCAAGGAGTACTGTCTACACTTACTATCACTGGCTTTACATTTCTACTTGAAAGAGTTGTCTTTTATAGAACAATGCTATACATCACAAAAATTACAAGTGTTTTTATGGTCAATAGACACTTGAATATGTCAGGCAGACACGTCAAAGCAGAAACTGATGTGATTAAGAAGTCGGATAATGATTGTCAAGAAGACTCCACTATTCAGCATAGCAAAAGGCATGGAAGCAAGTGTGTGTTCTGGGAGGTAGATCTTCACAAAAGGTGGTAGCTGGATGAGTGTTTCTGTACATACAAGCAGGACCCCCAATAAAGGGGTACCATGGGGACAATTACAGGAACAATGCCCTGTGTGTCTTTCCCTGCAACAGCTGAAAACTGGTTTCTCCCCCTCTCCATCCCTCTCCAGCTTTCAGCTGCTGCAGGGAAAAACACACCCTCCCCTCAAACCCCATACCTCTCGCTGTCCCACATGCATTTGATTTCCCCTGCTGTGTGCCCCCCTCCCCTCCCTGCAGTGCTTCCAGCTTCACTCTCCTGCTGGCTGCTGTGGGCACGCAGGGGGATGTTCAGGATGGAGAGTATGGGAAGGGTCCTCTAAGTATGTAATTTACAGGCCCCTTCCTTTAGTGAATGAACACAGTGAGTGATCGGTATTGATCTCTCATGTGTCCATTCATAACTGAAGCACAGTAAACTTTGTTACTATGCTTCAGTTTATGAATGAACAGGAGCCTCTGTCTCATGTTTATTCATCTTCAGTGAAGCCGAGGCTGCAAAGAAAGGAACTAAAAAATCTATATTTGGAATTCCTTTCCCTGTCTCAAAGGTGAGATGTCAGGGGTCAGTATAGACCCCTGATATTTCACCCAAGCCCCCCAACAGTGTTGTAAAAAAAATAACTGAAAAAATGTCAAAACTAATAAATTGTAAGAAATATGTTTTAAAAATTGTAAAAAATATTTTTTTTAAATGTGTAAAAATCATTTTAAATATTACATACTCACACGAGTTCTCTGGTCCATATAATGTGAATGAGCATTTTTTTCTGCAGCTGGAGCCATCTGTTACTCTATGAGGATACAGCAGCTGTACGAACGCAGGTCCTAATATTATAACTGTGCTGGTGTGGGTATGTTTCCCCAAAATACATACTGTCAGTGTTTGGAGGCCATACACCTGCATCCACACACCTGTCAGCTTAAGATCTGTGGCATGCACTCAGTAATAGCCACATTTTAAAAAAAATTAAAACGCTGATTCACACTGTACAGACCATAGCCCCAAGACCTTATTTAAACACAGAACTTTATTTATCAACTCAATACAGTTTTATCCTATAGATTTAGCAGGACTTTTGTAAGTTATGGTATGTGTGTGTCCTCTAATAATGCTTTTAGTGTACTTTTAGTGAAAATAATGTTTTGATATTGTCGGGTGGGGGGCTGTCATGTAGGCTGTATGGGGCCCCATGATTGGAACAGCAGACCTGCATACAAGCATTCTCATGAACATTGCACGTGTGTATGTGCATACATGCTCACCTTGTGCTGATGTTGGCCCAATTGAGCTTTTTAAGCTGAGTCATGCTGGTTTACTTTTACCTAACCAGTTACACTGCCACATTTATTATAGTACAGTTTCTTACTTGATTCCAGATTTCGCTTCTGCTGACCTGACCCTGGACCTCTGTCCATTAATTGCATTGGCGTTGATTTACTATTGGCAAATAGGCTGTTTCATTTGCAAGGGAATTCTCCCCGGAGCTCAGTGAATGAGATGAAGCTCTGCTTGACTTCCATCTTCCACTCATGTGCAAGGATAAATGCACATAATTGAGTATTCTTTGCAAACTGAAACTTCAGCACATTCACTAAGCACTGGGACAAATTGCCATGCAAAGTGCAACTTCCTTTGCAAACTGAGCAGCCTATTTGCCTTTAGTAAATCAGTTGTGTTCCAGTTACGCATCTGTCTCTACTCTGGTACTTTGCTGCTTGCCCATTAATGACCTTAGCCTGATCCTGACCATGCACCTTCCTCAAGCCTGGTACCTCACTGATCACCTGCTGATAACCTTGGCTTGATATTGACTACACAAGCTGCTGCCTGAACTATTCAGTAGATACTTTGCTTTCCTTTTTCTCTCCAGGACCACTTGGAAAGGAGGTTCAACAGAAGTGTCATCTCTGTTTCCACCAGGAATGCTGGTTAAAAATCAGTACAACTCTGGAAACACATTAAAGCAGAGTTCCACTCAAAAGTGGAAGCTCCGCTTATTTGCCTCTTCCTTCCCTCCACTGAAATATTTGGCACCTTTTGTGGGGGAGCGGGTACCTGGTTTTGACAGGTACCCACTCCCACGTCCAGCTCAGTTCACCGTGGCAAAGTGAACCGGAAGTGCGGCCCCTTCCTTCCTCCCACAGTCTCCTGAGAACTTTTCAGAAGATTGCTGGACCAATCAGGAGGTGCAGAGTGACTTGGGCATGTGCAGTGGGCACCAGTCTGTGAAGCCGCAAGCTGTCACAGCCTGGTGCCCACATCTGAGATGCCAGCACTGTGGGGGAGAGAAGGGGAGAAGGGACAGTGTAGGTGAGCACATCGCTGGACTCTGGGACAGGTAAGTGTGTGTTCATTAAAAGTCAACAGATACAGTTTTTGTAGCTGCTGACTTTTAATAAAAACAAAAATGGCTGGAGCTCCACTTTAAGATCAGTGCAATGGATATGTCCCATAAACCTATATAGGCGGTTTATTTATTTGTTTCTATTTTATTACAGGTACTTATATAGTGCTGTCAATTTACACAGTGCTTTACATATATGTATATATATATAGTGCAATCACATCAGTCCCTAACCTTCAAGGGGCATACAATCTAAGGTCCTTACCTTACATTCATACATATAGTACTAGGGCCAATGTTAGACAGGATCCAATTAACTTACCAGCATGTCTTTGGAGTGTGGGAGAAAACCAGAGTACCCAGAGGAAACCTACACAGGCACAGGGAGAACATGCAAATTCCAGGCAAGTGGTGCCATGGTTTGGATTCGAACCAGCGACCCTAATACTGCCAGGTGGAAGTGCTAGCCATTGTGTTGCCATTGCTTGTATTGTACTTTCATGGTTAAAATATCTACAGTATCTATCTATCTATCTATCTATCTATCTATCTATCTATCTATCTATCTATCTATCTATCTGTCTGTCTGTCTGTCTGTCTGTCTGTCTGTCTGTCTGTCTGTCTGTCTGCTGCCTGCCTGCCTGCCTGCCTGCCTGCCTGTCTGTCTGTCTGTCTGTCTGTCTGTCTGTCTATCTATCTACCCAAATGGAAGAAAAATCTATTTGAAATATATATATTAAATATATTAACCACTTGCCTACAGGGCACTTATACCCCCTTCTTGCCCAGGCCAATTTCCAGCTTTCAGCGCTGTCGCACTTTGAATGACAATTGCGCGGTCATGCAACACTGTACCCATATGACATTTTTATCATTTTTTTGAGACAGATAGAGCTTCCTTTTGGTGGTATTTAATCACTTCTGGGTTTTTTATTTTTTGCTAAACAAACCAAAAACAACTGAAAATTTTGGGGAAAAAAAAGTTTTTCCTAGTTTCTGTTATAACATTTTGTGAATAAGTGATTTTTCTCCTTCACTGGTGTGCGCTAATGAGGCTGCAGTGATGGGCACTGATAGGCTGTACTGATGAGCACTGATAGGCAGCACTGATGGACACTGATGAGGAGGCACTGGTATGTGGCACTGATGGGCATTGACAGGCATCACTGACTGGCACTGAAAGGTAGCACTCATATATGGCACTGATAGGTGGCACTGATAGGTGGCACTAATAGGCAGCACTGACTGGCACTGATAGCCAGCACTGACTGGCACTGTTAGGTGGCACTGACTGGCACTGTTAGGCAGCACTGATGGACACTGATAGGTGGCACTGATGCGCACTGATAGGCAGCACTGACTGGCACTGATAGGTGGCACTGACTGGCACTGAAAGGCAGCTCAGATGGGAACTGATATGTGGCATTGATGTGCACTGGTAGGCACGGATATGTGGCATTGATGTGGCACTGATGGGCACTGGCAGGTGGCATTGATGAACACTGACAGCTGGCATTGATGAACACTGACAGGTGGCACTGATGGGGCTGCACTGATCATCAAGGCACACTGATCATCAGTGCCCTGATGATCAGTGTACTTGTCCCCTCTGAGGAATGACGATTACCGGCTCTCCTCTCCTCACCAGCTGTCAGCGTGACAGCTCGTGAGGAGAGAAATGCCGATAACCGGCATTTCCTTATTTACATGCAATCAGCAGTGTTGAATCATGAGAGAGTCAACGTCTTCGGCTCTTTCCATTGATCGGTGATCCGCTGTGTCCAAGGTACACAGCGCACCACCGATCGCCATGCTGCGCACTCCTGGAGCCGCGCATGCGCGGTTAGAATGGGCGGACGTCATATGACATCCTCCCAGAACGAGAGAACCGCCTTGCGCCTGTCATTTCCTTATATGGCGGGATATATTTCAATATATCTATATATCTATATATATAGATATATATATAGATATACAGTTGCAAGAAAAAGTATGTGAACCCCTTGGAATTACATGGAGTTTTGCATGAATTGGGCATAAAATGTGCTCTGAACGTCATCTAAGTCACAACAATAGAAGAACACAGTCTGCTGAACATAATACTACACAAACATTAGCTGTTGCCATGGTTTAATTGCACATAACATGTAAACATTCACAGTGCAGGGAGGAAAAAGTATGTGAGGCCCTAGTTTAATGACTTCTCCCAGAGCTAATTGGAGCCAGGAGTGAGCCAGCCTTGATTCCAATCAGTGTGATGATATTGGATGTGTTGCTGACAGCTGTCCTGCCCTTAAAAAACACACACGTGTTTTGGGTTTACTGGTTTCAAAAAGCACTGTCTGATGTGAACCATGCCTCGCAGAAAAGAGCTCTCAGAAGACCTACGATCAAGAATTGTTGACTTGCATGAAGCTGGAAAGGGTTACAAAAGTATCTCCAAAAGCCTTGATGTTCATGTGTCCACGTAAGACAGACTATCTACAAATGGAGAAAGTTTAGCACTGTTGCTACTCTCCCAGGCGTGGTCGCCCTGTCAAAATGACTGCAAGAGCACAGCGCAGAATGCTGCAGGAGGTAAAGAAGAATCCCAGAGTGTCAGCTAAAGACCTACAGAAATCTCTGGCACATGCTAACATTTTTGTTGACACATCTACAATAAGGAAAACATTAAACAAGAATGGAGTACATGGGAGGACACCAAGGAGGAAGTCATTGCTGTCCAAAAAGAATATTGCAGCACGTTTGAAGTTTGCAAAAGAGCACCTGGATGTTCCACAGCACTACTGGCAATATATACTGTGGACAGATGAAACCAGATTGAGTTGTTTGGGAAGAACACACAACACTATGTGTGGAGAAAAAAAGGCACAGCACACCAACATCAAAACCTCATCCCCACTGTAAAACATGGCAGAGGGAGCATCATGGTTTGGGGCTGCTTTGCTGCCTCAGGGCCTGGACGGATTGTTGTCATTGATGGAAAAATGAATTCCAGAGTTTATCAAGACATTTTGCAGGAAAACGTATGACCATCTGTCCGCCAACTTAAGCTCCGCAGAGGATGGGTGATGCAACAGGACAATGACCCAAAGCATACAAGTAATTCAACAAAACAATGGCTGCAACAGCACAGAATACGCCTTCTGGAGTGGCCCAGTCAGAATCCTGACCTCAACCCGATTGAAATGCTGTGGCATGACCTTAAGAGTGTGATTCACACCAGACATCCCAAGAATATTGCTACACTGAAACAGTTTTGTGAAGATGAGTGGTCCAAAATTACTCCAGATCGTTGTGCAGGTCTGATCTGCAACTACAGGAAACGTTTGGTTGAGGTTATTGCTGCCAAAGGAGGGCCAACCAGTTATTAAGTCCAAAGGTTCACATACTTTTTCCTCCCTGCACTGTGAATGTTTACATGTTATGTGCAATTAAACCATGGCAACATCTAATGTTTGTGTAGTATTATGTTCAACAAACTGTGTTCTCCTATTGTTGTGACTTAGATGACGTTCAGAGCACATTTTATGCCCAATTCATGCAAAACTCCATGTAATTCCAAGGGGTTCACATACTTTTTCTTGCAACTGTAGATATATATATACTGTATGTTGAAATGTGTTTTTATTACAAAATATATGAAAAATATTTTTAAAAATACATTTCAAATGTACTGTATGTCTTTAACAATAAAAATCTACATTAAAAAAATCTGAAGAATATATTTTAAAAATATATGTTTTTTAAAATAGAGTTTTTTAAAATACATTCTTCAGATTTTTTTTTAACTTATAAAAAAAGCCATTTTAACATATAGTTTTACATATATTTGTAAATGCATTCCAAAAATGTAGATTTGTAGTTTATATATTTTCAAATAGAAATGCATTTCAACATATAGTATATATATATATATATATATATATATATTTTTTTTTTTTTTTTTTTTTAATTGAAATATATTTTGAAATATATTGAATATGGCCAAAATTGTAGCATTTCAAATATATGTCAATATATCTGGGAAGAATATTTTTAAAATATATTTCAAATATATTTTTCTTCTATGTGGGTATCTATCTATCTATCTATCTATCTCTATCTATCTATCTATCTATCTATGCAAATGATTTAAAACACATACTGTCCCTTTAAAAATCATATTGTACACACAAGAAACAGAAATAAATGGCACTTTTTCATGGGTGAGAAATGCAACACTAAGGAAATGATTGATCCAGCACAATTGCAATGCTCATCTGCAGAACAGCCAATACCTTGGCAAAAAATCAATTCTGCTATTATAAGCTGTTGACTGCAGTTTCAAACAACAGACATCTCTAAATCTCCTTCCTCTAAACATAGTAGATTGCTGCATATTACAGCATTAAGAGAAGGAAAAAATAGATAACCAAACTCAACATAAGGAAGAATACAAAATGATTAGGCAGAACAAAGGACCAAGCACATACAAAGATGTTCATTCTTGACAATTGACTAAAGCAGTGTTTCCCAACCTTTTTCCAGTTGTGGTGCTCTTGAAAAGTATTTTTAATTTTGAAGCACCCCAGTCTAAAGCTTGGTTCACATTACCGCGTATCGTGAAATGTGCAAAAATCATGTGGGTTCCTGACATGCAGACAAACGCAGTGTTCTTTAGTAAACATGCAGGGGTGTCATTAATTCTTAATAATACCCCCATGCATTGGCAAATGTGGTGAGTTTTCAGCATAATTTAATTAAAAAAAGGGTCAGGGAATTATTTTCCTGTGCTTCTGTGGGGCAGCCTATTGAAATGAGTGTGCTGCCCTATACCCAGCACGCAGCTGCACAGATGTGAACCAGGGGTTTGTTCACATGTGAGGTTGGAGAGTGGTAAAACCACACTCTTGATATGCATTTTTTACCATCCCCAACTGCCCCCCCTTTGTAGAAGCAGCAGCTGGGAGTGTACACATGCTGTCGCTGCAACTGGAAGTATACCCCCAGGTGAATGAGGCTGCACTGCACTGCCTGCAATTGTGTGTATTGCATACGGTTGCAGAGTGATGATGCTGCATTTAGGGGTTAAAACAGGGTGTGAGGAAATACCTGTCAAATACCTCTGAAAAGCGATCTGAGCATGGAACACTTTTCAGAGGAGTGTCAGTCCTTGCTGGTATTATATACTAGTCATAAAATATCAGTTCTGATCCTACAGGAACAGGGGGTCAGGATTAAAAGTAACGTACATGCATGTGCATATACTGTAAACACGCATGTACATACATACACTCCTGGTATGCACATAATGTATAAACACGCACATATATATAAACAGATACATACAGTATACACACACATATAAATACACACATACAGTACATACCAGGGGCGGACTGACAACTCATGGGGCCCCCAGGCAATAGGGGATCATGGGGCCCCTGTGTCCTTGCCCAAACTCAAAAAAGCCTATGAAAAAGGTACCAGGGGCATCGCATGGGGCCCCCTACTGACCCCGGGCCCTTAGGCAGTGCCCGAGTTTCCAAATGGTCAGTCCTCCCCTGATACATACACATACACACACACACATACACATATAGATAGTCTTTTAAAAATCAGCAGTACTGTACCTTTCTTCGAACTGCTAGGAATTGCACTGTAAGGGGAGGCAGAGAGCAGAGCACAAACTCACAAGACAGCTCTCCCTTGTATTCCCTTTCCTATGTGTAATTACAGTCTGACCGAGCTCTCCCAGTGCCTATTTACAGTTTGGCTGGGGATCAGGGAGCTCAGCCTCATGTGACAGCCATGACACCCCAGGAGACCTCTGGCTGCACCCCAGGCTGCTGCAGCAACCCGGTGAAAAGGGCTGGACCATAGATACAAAAGAAACAATTTGTTTAGCATGTGGTGTATTTTCAAATTTATTTCTGTGTAAATCATACTTTACTCCTACACAGCAAAGATCTTTAGGACCAACAGTTAGCCTATCAACACATTAGGAACCTGTAACATGCTTGGAACATTACAAATTATGCTATGAATTCCAATTATTTAACAGACAATAGTCTCTATAATATTGGTCTGGTAAAATAAATGCCTGCAAGTACCAAAATGCTATCCTCTGTGGATAGAGAGGCTAATGAGTTGGTTACCATAATATGGATTGTTAGTTTAGCGCTGCACTTTTTCGTTTCATATGTTATATTGAAGGTGTTGTTTGGTTACCTTTTGTGTTCTAGCTGCTACTATACATTCTTGATAGCGCTCATATACTTATTCTTTTATTTATTGTTAGTAACCAGTTTAGTCAGTTTTACAAAACCTAAAGTCTTACTAAACCCAGGACCCTGCATTCACTCTGTCTGGTCTCCCGCAGTACACAGAACATGGAAATGCAATTATTTGAGTAAATATAAACTGCCAGATACCTTTTCTCATCATCAGTGAGAGCAGTGACTTCAGCAGAGCACTGGTTAAAGCTTGTAAGAGGAGTTTTCTTTCTGCTCTAGGAGGATGTAAAACCTCTGTCTGGACAGTGCTGATTGGCCCTGTGCTGATCACATGCACCTTCCCAAGAAAGAAAAAAAACCTCTCTAGCAATACACACCAAACCGAGCATGTGTATGTGACTATGGATTCAGTCTGTATCAGGTGGTCATTTCAACAAGAGGAGAGGCAGAGAAGTCAGGAACAAACAGCCTTTTTACACAATGCAGCGGTTTAACTCCTTAGGTTCCAGAGTGAGTATAACAAGCATGCTTTGCTGCATATACAGACTGATTTTACTGTTGTGGGTTTAGTAACACATTAGGCATGTGTAATAATTTAAATTGGAACTCAATTTAAAACTCTTTTAATAGCAGGGAAGCAGGGATGGAATTTCCATTTTTACTTCTGACCAGGGGCGGGCTGGCAACTCATGGGGATCATGGGGCCCCTGTGTCCTTGCCCAAACTCAAAAAAGCCTATTAAAAAGGTACCAGGGGCATCTCATGGGGCCCCCTACTGACCCCGGGCCCTCAGGCAGTGCCCGAGTTTCCAAATTGTCAGTCCACCCCTGCTTCTGACTGTGTCTTCATTGGAGAGAGGTTTTCTCCTTTTATGATTCAAAGATGATGGACACAGATATAAAAAAATGCTTTTTTTCTGCAGTGGAGGAAAACTGGAACCTCTGTCAGGTTTTTATGGAGGTATGTGTCCTTGTTGAAGAAATCCTTTTTTTTCTGGGACAGCAAAACTTGCATCAGAGAGAAATCACATACATAACAACCTAAACAATGCACAGTAATAATACAATGTTTTCTGTGTTAATTAGTTCATTACTACCTATTCAAGTGTAATACGTTATCTGGTTTCCTCCTATGTTGGCCTTGTTAGTGCAATAAACAGACTTTATAAGCAATTATAATAACAATACACCAGGGATTATATGAACTCTTCAAAACAGAATACACTACAAGAGATGGAAGAGTTCATAGCTGCAATTTTTTTCATGTGTCATATGACTTAGAAAAATAAATGTCAAAAATGCTGAATTTTGTATGTGTGTTTGCTTTTTATGTTGCAATAGCAAGCCATAGTTTATCAACTCATTGGGGTTGATTTACTAAAACTGGAGTGTGTGAAATCCAATGCAGCCCTGCATAGAAAACAATCAATGTTACGGTTTTATTGTCAAAGCTTAATTGAAAGAGCTGAATTTAAAATCTGATTGGCTACCATACACAGCTGCACTAGATTCTGAGCGTTTTTTTTAAATATCTGTCTTTTTTTTTTTGTTTGTATAATAAAAAATAATAAAAACCACCAAAAGAAAGCTCTATTTGTGTAAAAAAAAAATTATATAAATTTAATTGGGTACAGTGTTGCATGACTATTTGCCAGTTAAAATAGCACAGTGCTGAATGGCACAAAATGCCCTGGTCATGAAGACGGTAAGGCTGGTCATACATTGTACAATTCTCTTGTACAGTTTTCGTTTAGATTTACCAAAAAGCATATAATATGAGGTCAAACCTAAACAACACTTTCAATGGTATCCAATTAGGCAGGCCGTTGCACTAATCAGTTGAAGGTAAATCTAAAGGAAATTGTACAGAAATTGTACAGAAAATTGTAAGAAAATTGTATAACCTATGGCCAGCCTAAAGGTGGGAATACACGATTGGAAAATCGACCGATCGGTCATCCGACGACCGAGAGGCGTTCGTTCATCGAAATCGTGGCCCACATTAACCAATCTAAAAAAATTGTTCATGGGGCAATACGTAGTGTTGATGTCTTCCGTACAAGTGGAAGTGATGCAGTGTGCGTGTGAGCTTGTAGCCACGCCCTTCTGGCCAGAACGAGCGATATACACAACAATTAACAGCAATGAGTATAATATAGTTTATTACACTTATTATTTTTATTTTATTTTATATATTTCAGGTACTTATATAGCGCTGTCAATTTACACAGCGCTTTTTACACATATATATTGTACATTCACACCACTCCCTAACCCTCAAGGGGTGTACAATCTAAGGTCCCTAACTCACATTCATACATACACATGCTAGGGCCAATTTAGACAGGATCCAATTCACTTACCAGCATGTCTTTGGAGTGTGAGAGGAAACCGGAGTACCCGGAGGAAACCCACGCAGGCACAGGGAGAACATGCAAACTCCAGGCAGGTGGTGCCATAGTTGGGATTTGAACCAACGACCCTAGTACTGCCAGACGGAAGTGCTAACCAGCTATTACATTACCTATATACATAAATAGTGATACATAAAATCTAATATGCAGAATTCTGGTTTCATTATCTCATTAGGCCAATCTACTTTTTTCGTTTGGATTTTTCATTCATGTTTACGAAGATTCCTTGGACATAAACATCCGGGTCATCTTCTGTTTCTGCACGTGTGATAGTGCTTGATAGAGATTTTTTTCGTATGACCTTCATACTACCGCATAGAAAATCGGTCATTCGTATATGAAACAACAACATTTTTCACTGTTATTCAACCGGATTTTTTCGTTCACAACATCGTACAACATCCTGCTCATCAACGAAGAGAAAATCGTTTGATCAGTGGCTCCACTAAATTTTTAGTACGATTTTCTTATCGTGTGTATGGGGCATTAGGCTGGCCATACACTATATAATTTTCTGTCCAATTTCTGCCCAATTTCCTGTAGATTTACCTTCAACTATATAGTGCAAGGACCTGTCTATTTGGATACAACTAAAAATGTTGTATAGGTTTGACCTCATATTATATGGTTTTTTGTAAATCTAAAGCAAAATCCTCAAGAAAATTGTATAATGTATGGCCAGCCTTATGCCCCGTACACACGATAAGAAAATCATCCGAAAAAATTTAGCGCAACCACAGATTGAAAGATTTTCTCTTTGTTGATGAGCAGGATGTTTTAACCAATATTGTGAATGAAAAAATCCGGTTGAACAACTGAAAAATGTTGTCGTTCTGCATACGAACGACCGATTTTCTATGCAGTGTGTCATGTTTCACATGACTGTCATATGCCTTTAAGTGTTCTCTATATTTTGTCTCTGTTCCTTCTTTTCCTTTGGTTCAGTTAATGCTGTATAGATAGCTCACCCCCTTCCCAATAATGCATTGCAGCTTCTAGCCTCATGTCATGAAGCAGGTCACATTATGATCTTTTGAGCTATCAGATGTTCATTGTTGTAAGATTCTCTCAGTTTATGGAATAAACTTCACAAGATCTACAAGATGTCTTCTGGATTGAGTCACTGACTGTGTCTGAGATTAGAGTTATCGCTATCTCATCGCAACTGTAAGTTACAGAGATCACACTTTCAATGCTTAGATTGGAGAGACAGAACACGGTGGCATGACGGTCGTACAAAAAAAAAAAAAAAAATCTATCAAGCGCTATCATGCATGATTTCACAAGGTTGCTCTCCGTCCAGAGGAGGTGCGGCCTGGTCAGGCTTAGTTCCTGGAGTCACTACGTCTGCTCCAAACCTTTGGACTGCAGAGAGGTGCAGATCGGGTTTTCATTGTGGAGGATAACCCTTCAGATTCACTTCCACTTAGAAGAAAGACGGAAGATCTTCATAGTTTGGGACAGATCGTATCAGGCCTGAATTCCTTATTTGGTGCTAACTGTTCCCAGTAAAGTCTACAGCAAAGCTGGAATATCCACAAGAGATGAGCTGTATTAAGGAGGAGGACAGAGGTGCTGCTGCCCATGGATGAGCCAGAGGGGGAGTCCAGACCAGGTTGTGCATGCCCTTAAGAGGATCTGGCTGACCTATTGAGATATTTGTGTTCTCAAATGCGTGATGTTATTGCGCAATTATTTTATTACCTGACACATCACCATATGATTGGAGATAGGAATTGGATCACCATACCCTGAGATCTCTATATTGGATCTTCACTTTTCCTTTTGGATTTTGTCACTTTATCAGCACTATTAGCCACCTTGAGTGGCATTATGTTTGTTATTATTTATATCATTCACATTGTCACTTTATGGACTCATAAATGTCATTATCTATGGTCACTTTACAAGCACCATT